CATACATTTCACTGGGAGAAGATCCCATTAAACTCTGCTAGGCATAGATAGGATTACACTGTAAGCCAGCTTGCCTGGAACACTCTCACAGAACACCTCCCAGCATTATTCTGAAGCTGAATTACATACTATTGAATTATAACCCACCATTAGGGCAGGGTATTTCCTAATCACTGAAAGTGTGTGACTCTCACAGCAGGAGATTTTCTGAATGCACATGGTTTGCAAACTGCTTTGCTTTGTTTTGCAATTGATCTTCCGGAGCTAAATATAGCTTTTGTTTGCAAGTCTGATTTTTCAGACTTGCAAAGAAAATCACATTTCTGGAGGGGCGGCAGGGGGAACATGATTTCAGCTCTAGTGATATACGTACTTACCGTTTTGCCCTTCAACTCACTCTGTTTTGACACACTTTTGGTCTTTTATCTACTTGGTTTTGATTAAACACCCAAATCCTTCAATTTGCCCACTAACACTGGAAAAAAACATCTCAGAAATTTATGAATTCAAAACATTATTTGATCAAAGATCTCACGGCCGGTCTTCTGGAAATCAGCTTCATTGCATACAATTTACTTTGCCACAGCTGAGTTGTTCTATTTACCTAGTTTCAAACTTATCATGGCTCTTTTACTACTACTGGATACATACAGTAGAGGAACTGGTGAAGCAAAAGCTGTCTTGGTGAAAATCTCATAATTTTTCAAGATCTGAAGCCACACATCTATATTATCCAACTCTATTAGTCAAAAAAGCCAATCCTTGATGCAAATCTTCCATACATTGTGGGCTTCATTAGACAGGATTTCCATTACTGGGTTTGTTTCAAAGACCTGTCTGGGAGACCGAAACACTTCTCCTTAATTAGAATGCAAGTTATATTTGTCTCTGCAGTCCGGATACAAACTGAATCTAATTGATTCAACACCCATGATGATACAGAGTTTCTAACAAGGGGACTTCCCAATTTGAAAAGGCCTCTGCTCTTTTGGGAAACAAAATAATCCACTGTCTTTAAAGAAAGAAGTTTCCATAGTATCTCCTAGTGATTCTTTAATAGTGTAGTTATTGAATGAAAGCAAGCGAAGCAAATTGCACATTTGTGACACAGCATTTTGACATGTAAAGCATAAAATTGTGGGTAGTACAGCACGTCCTTGCAAAGTCATCTCACACAGTGTATAATTTCCACATCAGAGTTATTCCAAGTACAGTCCTTCAAATCTTTGTTAAGCAACACTCTCATGAAATACTTATTTCATACACAGATATGAGCAAAATTGGAAACATACAAAGAGACCTTACTGTCATCTTTGATGTGATCAATCACTTAGTTCATCACTGATCTCATTCATCCAAAAAGCAATATTATGAAGTAGAGCGTGTCTCAATTTTTAATACAGGAAAAAGAGGCACAAACAAGAGCTTGAGAAGTTAGTTTTTTATCTGAGATTTTTATATGCCATCAAGTTACTTCTGAAAATAGTTCTATGAATGAACAATTGCCAAAAGGTCATATCATTAACAGCCCTGCTCAAATATTACAAACCAAAGGCTGAAGTTCCTTTATTGAGTCAATCCATCTCATGTTTCTTCTCTTCCTGTTGCACTCACCTTTTCCTAACATTATTGTCTTTTCTACAGTCTTGTCTTCGCAGCATGCAGTTCAAAGTACAAAAGTCTCAATTTAGCCATGTTTTTAATGCGCTAAACCAACATGGCCACTATCCATGCAAGCTGGCAAATGCTTGGAGTAATCATTTTTAAAGTATATTTTCCATGAGTTACCATCTGTACAAAGATTTCCCCCTGCCCAAGCCCTACATTCTGCAAACTTTTTTTACTATATTGATTCCTGATGAAACTTTTCAGGAAACAATACATTCCCATTAACTGGCAAGTCAACGCCCCACTGATTCAATGGAACTTATTTCAGCACAATAAGTCACAATCAGAGTTGGCCAAACCCTCACTGATTCAATTAGTCTTCTCTAGTGTGACCTACTATGCTAAGCAAGTGGATTACAGCGAGACAGTAACACCCACCAAATTCAGAACCGATCTGGGATTTTAAACATGTTACTACCCAAGGCAAAGGACAAGATGGAGCATACGGTACTCTATATAAAGAGGCTAGAAGATATCATACAGAAGAGGGGCAGGATCTGTTATCAGTCATCTCAGAGTGCAAGACATGCAACAATGGGCTCAACTTACAGGAAGCCAGATTTCGGTTGAATATCAGGAAAAACTTCTTAACTGTTAGAGCAGTACAGCAGTGGAACCAATTACCTCGAAAGGTGGTGAGTGCACCAACACTGGAGGCATTCAAGAGAAACTTAAGATAACCACCTGGCAGATATCCTTTGATTTGTATTCCTGCATTGAGCAATGTTGGAGTCAATGGCCTTATAGCGCAAGATGGAGAAACCCTGCCAAAAAGAACCCTAACATATACATGCTAGATGGAGAAAAACCATCCTTGGCTTGAAATAAATGACAACAGGGGAAAGAGTTGAATAGCTTCTCCCTACCTACCATAGGCTACTATAAAATTACATATAAAACCCAAGAAATGTTAGCCATAATTCAAGATGGAAAAATTTACTATTGGGCTTCTTTTTAAAAACTGTACTTGCCACCTAAAAGCTGTGGCATCTTCCACATCTCTAAAATTATGTAAAGGTGGCATAGTCAGAGCATGGAGTATTACTTTTAAAAATAACTCACTGTGCTAGTTCCATTACTTCTCTGTAGCCAGGTCACTGTACTGTTGCCTTGATTGATTGTGTAAGTAATCCACTGTGTTACATGCTACTGATGTCTTGCCTTAGTGCCACTAGCAGCAGGGTATAAAAAACAAGGGAAAACTCTCTGATTTCCTGTCATGGACATTTACATTATCAGAAAATATTTACAATCGTACAAAAGATGAAATAATACTTCTCTTGCCATTTAAGACTGATAAAGATGACATAAATCAAATTATATTATTATTATTATTAAAGATGACATAAATATCAAATTTCCTGACAAAATGCTTCACAAAATGTGTTTAAAATGCTGTTTAAAAGTAACTAGAAAACATAACATTGCATACCAAAATCTAACTATGTCACTACTTGTTACATTAGTGTAACTTTGTAGTTACTCATTTCATCACTTGTTGCCCAAAAGTAACTGGTTATATTGTAAATATATTACTGGTAAGTAATTGCTTCGATGCTCTGCGCATTGTAGACGAATTAGGCTAGTGAGCAGGGTCGTTTTGATACTAGTCCCTAATTCCCGAACTCCTTTCTCTGAGAAATACAATGTCTCTGATTTCTTTTATACACATTCTTATTTCGTGCTCCATTCTGAGACTCTTGCTGCACTGTGCTTTTAATGAGTCACCGGCTGTGACTAAGAAAATATACTTTGGTGTGGGTCCAACAGTGTCCTTACACAAATTGAAGATGTCTCCACTAACAGCACATGGGAGGATATCCTCCATCCAGTGCAAGTGTAGGCCACCATGCCACATTTCGTGCCATGCCTGGAGATCCCTCGACCCTCCAGAGTAGCTTCTGACAGGTCACGGCAGACACAGAAGGAAACAGGAGAATGAGGAAAGAAGCTCTCTTCCACGAGCAAGGCGCTGCTCACAAGGGATAGAATACAATGCAAAGTTTGCAGGCACAACTTTCCAGTGAATAAAAATGTCAAATGTCTTGGGGAAAAGTGAAGTTAAAACAGAGAGATAACAAAAAGAGCCCACAGGATCAGTAGAAGCAGCTAGAGCACTCCCTCTGGTGATGAGCTGGAGCAGGACCAAAGAGAGAGAAAACATCTTAGAAGGACTCTCCTGCTAGAGATATTTGGGAGCCACAAAATAAAGGAAAGACAAAGGTTAGGAAATTTGCTGAAGAAGAAAAATAAGTGAGCTATCAGTTCCATGTGTTTGTATTCCCGGCTTGCATTCTGAACCACCAAAATGTCTTTTTTAAAACGAAATGGGAGCAGATGTTTAAAAGTCTCTAAAGCTTGGCAAACATGTCGCTGCTTACACCTTTACGAACCTGTTTGAACATTAAGTTCAGCAACATATATGACCTCTTTGGTGGTGGCCCCACATTTTTAAAACACCCTCTTAGCAATTTAGAAGAGTTCCCGGTTTGAACTGCATCCTCCATAATCCCTGCAACAGCACTTCTAATTTTTGAAGAATATTGTTCTGTTGTGAAGAAATGTATATTAAATGAGACAAACTTAATTTACTGCACCTTCTCTTTCCTCTAATGAGCTAAAGCAGCGTGCATGGCTTTCTCCCAGCCCACTTTGGCCTCACAACAACCCTGTGAGGCTGGCCAGGCTGCCTGGGAACAGAATCTTCCATAGACTCCAGATGTGACAGAAACAAGCAGGAATTATTTTTAAAATAATTATTTTTAAAAGTGTTAAGCCAAAAAGAGTTCTGACTTCATGGAGTGCCTGTAAAATTTGACTGAGGTTTGCATTTCGTGGTGTTATTCCAATTACCACTGCAAGACTCTTACCTAACATTAGTGAGGCAGCACCAGAAGAGGGTTTTTTTTGGGGGGGGGGGTTAAAGGTAACGTCAGGCAGCATTGGGAAACTGCAGCAATAGGGTGGCAGCATCTGGAGCTATGAAAAAAGGCACACAGCAGTCCCAAAGGACACAGAAACCAAGCTAAAGATAGCCTGGAATGGAAGCATGACTCTTTTCAAAGTAAGAGGAAGGTGCTTGGTCAAACACAAGACAGGGGCTCCTTGCAGGCTGTCTTCTCTGAAAATGATCCTGCCCCCGGTGCCAAGAAGAGAGACCTCACTATCAAACTCTACCAGTCTCTCATACCATGAAGATGTAGGCTAGAAGAACTATAGGATGTCTCTGTTAATGCCTCTGCATTAAGGATTTACAGCAAGCAGATAAAAAGGCTAAACAAAACAATCTGATTTAATAAACCACAGTCAGACATACACACAAACCTACTCACGGAAATAGCCTGCTACAATTCCAGCTGTGCCATAAATGTACAGGACTGTTTGTCCAAGAGGTACCCAAGCAGACATGTAAGACAGAAGAGACAAAGAGAGGAAAGGTGTTAGGTCCCCATAACTAATATTATAGGGTTTCTTATGGCTGTAAATGAGATTCTGAAAACATGTCTAATACTACTGGTGACTGATAGTAGACAAGAAGCCCACAGGTTCTGAAAAGGCCACTTAATCCATTTGGAACAAAGACATTGCTCAAATAAATGTCAGCCAAAAACAACATTAAAAAGGAAAAACACCACAATTTACTCAACATTTTAAAACACCAGCCCTACAAAACTTCCTCCTTAAAACGGCTGTCACAAAAGGTACCTTTTCAGAAATATCTCACGAACTCTCCCCCAATAAGAAAAGAATTAAACACGCATCAGATATATTGAATGAAAGACCTAACAGAGTTTGAACAGAGTTACTTTTAAGTCCATATAAATCAGGCAAAGAAGTAAGGTCCTCCACTACAAAAGTTCCACATGGACAGGTTACAAGATCTTGTGCATTCAAACTAGGCTAGAAGAAACTTCAGCATGACAGTTATAGAAGAAAACTGGCACATCGCACAAGGAAGCAAACAATCTTAAACTCAGCATTCATCCTATAATTACTTAAAAATGAGCTCCAATTTACTTGGTCCAAGAGGCATCAACATTTAAAATCCATATGTAAAGCTTAATTTGATTCCACATATAAAGAGAATTTGTTCTGATTAATGGGACCATTAAGAAGATGTACACTTGTGCTTGTCCACTTAGGAATTTAACATGTTTCGCCATCAAAAAGGATCCTGCAACTTATGCTTTCTATTCAGCCGAATTCCTTATTGCTGAAGGAGCTCATGACCAGAAATGAAGCAAGCCGCTGTGTAAGGAGTCAGAACGAATGTAGTGGAAAGAGCAGGTTGTTGTTCCTTATCTTGCCAGTATGTGGAGCTGTTTAATAGGAAAGGAGATCAAAATGCTGCAAGTTCTTTTTAAAGGAACATTCTGAAACATTATGGAGGGATGTTTTAAAGGCAACATGCATGCTGAAATAATTTCACTTCTCTTGCTCATAGTACCATTCAATTCAACACAATTAAAAAATGAAGTTAAATGACACAGAAGAACAATCCAAATTATGAACTGTTGAAAATCCTGGCTGGGTGTAAGAGGTAGAAATGTAAAAACTAACCCCCCTTCTCTCTGTGTGCATGTGTAAAAGTGTGTGACACACATATATATACGCATATGCATGTGCCTATACATATAAGCTGACAGGAAAAAATATCCAATTGATTGACTGACTGACTGATTGACTGATTGATTGATTTTTATCCTTCCTTTCTCCTTAAAAGGACCCAAGTTGGCTAGAGAGCTTTGTGGATACCTTGGACTCCCAGAAAGATTAACAAGTATAGTGGGGCCTCAACTTACAAACGTCCCTACTTATGAAAATTTCGAGTTGCAAAAAGCTACGGCTGCAAAATTTTGCTTCGAATTGCAGCCGGAGCTTCCAGGTACGAACAGAAAAAGGCAGAGGAAAAACGCAGAAAACCGTGGGTGGCGAAGAGGCTGCTTCTTCGCCCCAATGGTTAGGAAAAGGGAAGCTCAGCATCCCTGGCTTCAAACACCACCCCGACCGCCGTGCAGGATGCCAGTGCTTTGGAAGCCCGAGAAGCCTCCGTAGCAAATTTTTGGAATTTTTCTTTTTGCAGCTCCAAGGGCTTGCAGTGTTTTAGTATTTATTTATTTATTTATTTATTTATTTGTTTGTTTGTTTGTTTGTTTGTTTGTTGTGATGTTTTTCTTTGGCCAGAATGGATTAATCGGTTTTCAATGCATTCCTATGGGAAATGGTGCTTGGACTTACAAAATTTTCGAGTTACAGCCACGGTTCCAATATGGATTACTTTCGTAAGTCGAGGCACCACTGTAGTCCTAGATCAAATCAAGCCTGAACTCTGTCTGGAGGCAAAAGTGATAAAACTAGGGTTGTCCTAGTTTGGGCACATCAAGAGAAGGCAGGACTCTCCGGAAAAGAGAATAATGCTGGAAAAGGTTGAAGGCAGAAGGAAAAGAGGAAGACCAAATATGAGATGGATTGATTCTCTAAATGAAGCCAGAGTCTTGAGTTTACAGGAGCTGAGCAGAGCTGTTGAGGACAGGACATGTTGGAAGCCACTGGTTCATCGGGTGACCACAAGTCAGATACAACAAGTCACTACAGCTGTACATGGGCATCCTTTACTCACTTAACCATGATAAAATCTACAACAGTGAGAACCCAAATGGAAAAGTGAAAAATAGGTAATACAAAAAATTCAGAGCAAAAAAAAATGACTTTCTTCACTTCTGAATGTATTAAAGCATCAACAGCATACACCTGCAGGGCAAGCTAAACACAACTTCACCAGTGAGAAGAGGGTCTTTCTTTCCACAAAACACCAAATGAAATGACTTGCATTCAATTTAATTCTCCTTCTTCTCAACAAATAAAGAGGCCATAATCTAAAATGGAAATGTGAAAAACACTTCATACTGATGTTGTTTATATAACAGAGCTGGGGACAGATTACTACCAGTTACAGGTGGTAATTGGGAAAGCTGGGAGAACAGTCTAGGAAGATGGAGAGGGCAAAGTGAGGCCCTCCAGATGTTGTTGGGCCACAATTCCCTTAAGCCTTAACCAGCACTGTCAATTATAAGGAATGTTGGGCGTTAAGACTCCAAAAACATCTGGAAGGCTGGACTATGACCCACCTTGGCTAGAAAATGACTATAATGTTTATGAAGGCAGTTTTAGCTCAGCCAGTTTGGAAAACATATCCAGCTTCTTTATCAGACAAAGTCAGCAACAGAAACATTACCTTACTCCACAAGCTTAGATCAGTGGCAGCTAGTGACTCCAATTCTGGGGTTGCTGTGAATACATACTAGGTTTCAGTTTATACTTTACAGATGGTATCCAAAGTTGTGTACCTGTTCTGGGGACAGGGTTCAGAATCTTGGATAGCTCTTGTAAAGTGAGAACAAAAACATGAAATGGATTCATAGCACCCCCAACATTGGAGTGATCATCCCACCGCTGCTTAGGAATTTGTGCATTGTGAGCTTGCCCAGGGAAGGTACAGTTTGTTGACTAAAGTGTTCCCAATCACTCCTTGGGGGATTTTGCATTGTCTGACTGTAGTTCAGTCTAAGATGCTATTTGTGTTCAGTCCTAGGTGTCTGGTGTAAATTTGTCCCTCAAAGCGCACATAGTTTTGCATGAAAATTAAAATTCGGCTCAAGAAAGGACCAAGAGTTTGGTTTGCTTGCCAAAGAAGTAGGGCATGCTGCTCTTCGATCTTGCAGTTCAAGCTAAACCCAGAAAAAACTGAGCTGATTATCACTGCACACAACCGTAGCATGGTCTCATAGAATACTCCACGTATAAGACAATCTACCCAGAGCCATCTTCCCCAAGGACTATCATCAATAGCTCATCATTTCCATTGAGGAAAGGTAGCAGATTATTTTGACCTCCAAAGTTTCATCCCAGTGGTTTTTCACCATTTCTGTGCATACCACTGGTGGGATACAGAAGCTGTTAAGGTGGGGCAGAGGATTTTCAAAACAATGACTTAAACAATTCACTGCCCCTTGATTTTCATGTTCTCCTGCAAGTATGATGTGCTACGGCCTACCCACTCTACCAACCCTCTGAACAGCCATAGATTACCTGTCTGTCATACCATGGCATGCTACTAGTAGCTTCAGACATTCAACGTTTCTCCTAAGCTTTCCTTTCCACTGCCTACAAACTTGGTATAAACATAAATATTACACAGTGACTGAAATCACACAAATATACTTCTCTTCCTATCATGGGACTGCGTAGTTCTTTGGAGGAGTGACTGGTGCCATGAAACAGACAAACAACATAGTTGAGAACCACTGTTATAGCCTACAGTTCCCATGGTACCTGACAGTGGACCATGCTGGGTAGGGATGGAGCAAACTGTAGGCTGAAAAATCTCATACACAGCATTGAGGGCTTGCTGGGTTTGCACTGAGAACATTACTAGGAGCCTTAGATAGTAATGTTGAGTGTGCCCTTCTTTTCCAATTCACTTTCTTTCTTTTTTTCCCCACCTCTCCCCAGAAAAAATGTATGGAACACTGATCCTGAAACGAGAGCATCAGATCTCCAGAATCAGCCAGGAGGACCTCTGTCTTTAGTTGACAATTGATTGTTATCAAATAGTGCAAAGGCCTATTCTAAAAACTGTCCTGCTTAAACCCTTCGATTCTGAAAAAAGAGTGAAGATGAAAATAAAAAAGAAAGAAAGATTGAAAGAAAGAAAGAAAGAAAGAAAGTAAGAAAGAAAGAAAGAAAGAAAGAAAGAAAGAAAGAACGAGAGAGAGAGAGAGAGAGAGAGAGAATGGCAAAGCAGAAAAAGAACAAATCAACCATTTCTGAAAGTGCTAAACTATCGTAAGTTGTCAGCAATGTTACCCTCATCACAGATTTATTTAGTACAGCTCCATCAAGTTGGGTGTAAAATGACACCTAGAAACAGAAAAGGATGTTTCCACAATGCAAATGTTCCACATGCACATAGACATAATACCACCAACAACCTGAAACAGATCCCATCTTGTCTGATTTTGGAAGCTAAGGAGGATCAGGCATGGTGAGCACTTGGATGGGACACCAGCTGGGAATCCCAGGGAAGGCTAGGAAAGAATCATTTCCCTGGAGAGCTATTGCTGCCACTCAGAGTTCATAGGATTAGAATAGATAGGATACAAGGACTGTGCTATTACACTCAAGATCTGCTTGTGAGCTCCCCAGAGGCCACTGGTTTATCACTGTGGAATGAAATATCAGACTAAGTGTGTCTGGTTTGATCCAATGTTTCAGGAGATACTTTACTAGATAGGCAGAAAAAAATCTGTAAGATACATTCGAAAACATAGAAAGAAGAGAATGGATAAATAATTATTCTTATATAAATATTTTATCT